CATGCCTCTTTATTTCCTTTCTTTCTTCAAAATGGTGGCAAGGCAGTTAGTGAGTATTCAAAGAAGATGGGAGGAAGGGTGAGAAAAAATCTCATGAGCGAAGTAGGAAAAGATTAGCTGCCCCAAGAGTCATGGGGACTAGGAATCAAAGACATTGAATGCTTTAATGATTCTCTCATTGCAAAATGGAGATGAATCTCTTCTATCACAGTGATAGTTTATTGGGGAAGATCTTAGACTCTAAATATGGGGGCTGGAAAAGTTTGCTTGAGGGTGATGTAAACAACACAACTTCACTTTGGTGGAGAGATTTGACAATGATTTGTGGGAGCCAAATACAGGAGAAATGGTTTGATAAAGAGACCCAAGACCAAATGAAGGTTTGGGAAGGAAACTAGATAAGGTTTTGGCGGGATAATTGGACGGGTGGAGATTGTCTGGCAACGACTTGTCCAAGGTTGTTTCTAAATTCTGAACAACATGAAAACATTATGAATATGGGAAGATGGGTGGCAAAAGACTGGATATGGGAGCTTAAGTGGAGGAGACCCTTGTTTGAACGTGAAATTAACCGGTGGGAAAACTTGCACGAATTTTTATTGAACATAAAATTGGAAAAAAAAAATGATAGTTGGTTATGGCTTGATGGTTCATCAGGGGAATTCTTGGTTAAATCAACTTATAACATTCTTCATAACATAAAATTTGGCATCCAAGTGGATAGAAGTCTATCTCAGATGTGGAAAATGAAGATCCCCCTAAAACTGTTATTCTGTTTTGGAGGTTGTACTATAATGGGCTACAAACAATAAGCAACCTCCTTAGAAGAAATGTCAAAATGGATGCTACAAAATGTTGCTCGTTTTGCCTGTGCAAAGTGGAGACAACGTCTCACATTTTCTTCTCATGTAAATTGATATTCTGTGGAAGGATTGTTACTCATGGGCTAACATATTAATCGTTTTAGCAGGAAATATAAAGCAACATTTCAATCAGGTGCCATACAGATGTTCATCAGAAATAGAACTAGAGAGGTGGCAAGTGGTGTGGTGTGCGGTTGTATAGTGCATATGGCAGGGGAGAAATAATGGTGTTTTCAGAGGAACAACTTATGATAAGGAAGGGCTGAAATAGGATATACTTTTTACATCATGGTCGTGGCTTAGAGCAAAGAAAGAATATTTGGTCTATAGCTTCGATCAATGGTCTGCCAACCCAGGAACATGGTTATCTTCAAAGCAGTTTGATCATGTATGAGGGATTTTTGGAAATATATGGTCTGAGCCAATCGGTGCATCGCGAATATAATGTGTTTGCTGAATAGAAAAGCTTAGTGGGTGATGGGTATTTGGAGTGGTGACAGCAAATAATGATGATAATTCATATATGGTCTAAGCCATGTCTCGAGTTTCTCTGGTACAATGATTAGAGTATTTGGAAATTAAATTATAGGATGCAAGAGCCAACTTGGACAACACGGTCTTTGATATAAATCTGTGATTCATGATATCATAGAAAGTGGTTAGTGATCTGAAGCGGTGGACATCATAATTATGCAGAAAAAGTTGGAAAATACACCAAACGGTGGTGAGCTCTATACATAAGAAGAGCAAAGGTGGAAGAGGGATAAGATACTTTATGGATGTCCATGGATGTCCAATCTATGTTGTTTGATATATACAGGTGGTATGTCTTCTAAATTTTGATGCCCTAGGCTATTAGGTTGCAACAGGAAATCTGTTATATGTACGTATTATAAGAGGGTGTCAGTAGATGTAAAGGTTAATCAAAGTAATTATAGTATGGAGGAGGGATGGTTGCATGCTGAATGGTATGAGAATATCTTATTAGATTAGAAGATAATTAGTATGTATTTACCGACAAATTACACCTAACCTGGGGAGACTAAGCATGATACTTCGATTGTATTTCACTTGTATGTATATGCGTTAAGGTAGCCTTTTTACCTTTCTTAATATTTTTTTTGCTGATAAAAAAAAATATACTGTCTTGTGTTGATAGTTCATATGGGTATGGGATCATTAACACACACTTCTCATGTCAAATGACATAACTTCAACTTCAAGTGAATGTTATTTCCAATTTATATATAATATTTTGACTTTAATTGATGTGGGATATGTAAAAAAAATATCATTCAAATTAATAAAATTATAAGATTAGTTAGTTTTTCCTTTCCATTTCGATTGCCAAGGAGAATGACCAAGCTTGGTGACACCAAAATTGCCTGTAGAGTTGATAGAGCTAAAGGAAATAAATTAAATTTATCTTCCCCATTCTTAATTAGGTTGTCAACATTGCAGAAGTTAAAGTTAGAGGTGTTTATACAAGTTCTAAACAGGAAAGATCTAAGAGCAAAACAATTAAAGTTTAAATTTTAAGTTCATCAATAAAAAAATAATTTACTAATAATTTTTGTAAAGAAAAAAGACCACATATATTGACCAAAAATTCAATATATAACTATCTTTTTTAAAGTTAAAACGTCTCTTTCAAAATTTGTTTTACATCACATTCAATCAGGATCGGATTCTTAAAAAAATCAGTTTTCCAACTAATAGTTAATCAAAGTTGTTGATACATGTATATATATGACATGAGTGGCACTAATTTAATATTCAAAAATTATCAAATTGTATGGCCGTACACAAAAAATAATGCAGAGTAGTTAGATAAAATATAAATGGGAAGATGTTGATTTTTACGATGTTTGTGTAACTTTAAAAAAAAATAATTAATTCTCATATGTGATGAAAAATATTTTTTAATAATAAATTAATTTTTAAAAATTTAATTATAATATATATATATATATATATTAATGTTTATATATATAATATAATATATTAAAAAATTAATTTTTGATAAAATAAAATTTATAGTATGCATGTTTACCTTTTGTACTTTCTATTTATTGTATACGTTGATTAAAAAAATCAAAATAGTTAAGATTGTAAGATTTATGTTTTATTTAGAATTTTTATTATAAAATATATTTTAAAATAAATTATCATTTAAAAATTTATATTACATATTAAAAATATGTTTACATCATTAATAAAATAAATTAAATTTTTATAAAATTTAACATATTTATTTTTATGTTTTTATTAGTTCTAAATTATTATAAAGTAAGTTTTTTTAACTAAATATTTTAAAAAATATCTATAACAAATAAATAAGTCATATTTACTATATATATTTTTAAAGAAAGTTAGTACAAATCTACTAAATTATAATATAATCTAGTTTAATCTAGTTTATTTTCATATTTAATTATAATCATAGATATAAAAATTTGTAAAAAATAATTATGATATATATTTATATTTTTAAAAATTATATATAAAATTTTTAATATTATAAATATATAAATAAATATTATCCCTACTATTTAAAATTTACGAATCTGTCACTAAATTATTACCACCATTTCACTTTTCTTTATAATATAAAATACGGTTCAGTTTCTTGGATACCCAGTTACTTAGAAATACCCATGGAACACCATGTCTACATAACAAAAAATATTGAATAAATTAAATATTTTATTTTTAATTTATTAAAATAAGAAAAGATTTTTTAAAAGTGTGCGCTAGTGTTATTGGTATCCAAAAACATTTTCAATAAAATAAAGCTCAGTTGAATGATTTTCTTGTGACTATGTACCATTCCACGAAGGACCCTACAGTGAAACAGGGTCGACCCAAGCAGGACCCTATAGTGAAACAGGGTCAAGCTAAGCATAAAGCTGCTCAAGTCTTAATTTTAGGCCCAAAATATTTTTTATTTATAAAACTTAATAAATTATTTGTATCAATATTAATTTTGATTTATTGGTTTGTTTAAGTCTAACATTATAATGACTGAAGTTTAATCTTAGTATTGTAGATTTTTGTTAAAAGTTTCTTTTTTTATTAGTGACTGTTCATTTTTTTTATCATGCTCTCATTTTTAAAAAGATTCAACTTCAAAACTCGCTTAGACCTCAAAATATGTTAAATCATTATAAGAATACAGTGAAATAGCTACGGAAAATAAGCATCGACTAATAGCTGACACAAATATTGTCGAAAAGGTCGACGTTATTTTAAGATATAGTGTTGGCTTTGTCAACACTAACTTAATTTAAGTTTAGTGTCGAAAAAGCTGACACTATTCTTTAAATATAGCGTAGACTTTGTCGATGCTATATTTAAATAATAGCGTCGACTTTTCTGACACTAAACTCAATTTAAATTTAGCGTTAGAAAAGCCGACACTATTTTTAAAGAATAATGTTAATTTTTTTAATACTATACGTGCTTTGAAAGAGATAAAGATGATTTTTTGAATCTTATACACGCATAATGTATGATGGTGCAGTTGGTTATTAAGTTCTCTTAACACGTTAACTCGTTAAGGTTCCAGGATTGAGTCTCAGTAATGCTTAAATTACGAACGAATAAATGATAAATTAGAAAAAGAAGATGAAGAAAAAAATAAAATAAATTTTGTGTTGAAGTAGTTTCAGCTTAATCAATAATAAAAAATTAAAATAAAAAATTATTACTAACAGCTTAGTCGACAAAAAAAAAATTATGTCAACTTATTTAACGTCAACCAAAAGTCGACGAATGACCGACAATATTTTATGTCAGTTTTTATTATTTAGAGTCAGCTTTTTAGCTGACTATAAAATGAAACATTTTTATAGTGAATCAGCCCTGTATTAAAACAAAATTCAATATGCTTAATTAAACGTTGTGTTTAATGGATTACAAATTATAGCATATGACTTTTAAATAGGTTAACTTGAAATTTATGAACGAGTTAAAAAAATAATTAAGTTGCAAATGCAAACAGATCTTTAAAAAATGAATCTTTGACCTCAGTTGAGAAGAGGACTCAGGGCAAGAGTTCAGATTTGTAGTATGAATTGGTTATTTTATGAGTGATTAAAACACACTCGATCAGAACCAAAGCAAGTACGGTGTAAATCACAGCAGAAAGAAAGCACAGAAGTAGATCTTACCGGCTAAACCAAGTTCTAAAACCGCATAAAGTATACATATAATATTCAGAAAAAAAGCATAAGGATATATGATGAAAAGTTGGGTTACAGCGAGAGAAAGGTGAGTGGGAAATGAAAAACATGAGAATGGATATGATACGTGGACTTAAAAACCTTCTTTTCTTATACAGAAAATAGAATAGCAGAAGCTATACATATGGTTGCAGGATAAGTTATGGCTGTAGTAACACGTACGTACTTGCTTCCTTTCACGCACCTTCTTCAATAATTCCAACTTAATCGTGCATACATGAACCTGCAAGATATATATAGGAATTAAATGCAATAACGAAGCAAGCATACATATAATTAGGCAAGCAAGTCATGTTGATCATGAGAAGCTTATAAATAATAACCTGTTGTTATGGCATGTAACAAATATGATATGAAATCATTTCGACGTCCCAGACCCTGGACGTGGAGGTGGAGGTTTAGGTTTAGGGTTTTTTGTACCAGAAGCTTGGGCCTTAATGGTTTTGTCATCTTTGGAACTCATAGTGCGAGCTCGCCGGCTATCTGCTTCAGTTTGGTGTTGGTTTAGTGTTTATATGAACAAATTAGACTTTATATGTAATGTATTTATAGGGAAATTAACCTACCTGCCCTCCTTATTCAATTAATGCATGCCAATTATTATGTTTGAGTAGGGTTCATCTGGTGTGACTTTTTTATTTAGATTACTTATTTTTTATTTTTTATTTTTTTAATCATGATATAAATATAAAATATCATTTACATAAAGTAAAGACTATTTTCATTGAAGATTTTAAATACACACAAGTAGAGTATTATCCTTTGAATATAATTTATTTTATTTTTCTAATTATAACTAATCTTTATTAGCGCTTTAATGGGAGTTGTTTGTCCCATGAAGTAACTTAAGCCATGTTTCTTGTTATCGAAGGATTCTGACGTGGCAACATGAGTTGCTTGAAGAAGAGAGAGAGTTGCTTCCTCAAACAACTGTTCCTTACCAAATTTCAAGCAGATCTTATTAAACATATTTGCGAACATTTTAGAAATAATAATGATGAAAATTAATTTCGTATAATGTTTATGTATTTATTATTGCTTTATTTTATTTTTAATATCTACTTATTGTGTATTTTTTCTCGTAATTTATTTTTTTCATTGTAGTGCAATTATCTTTTTTAATAAAAATTTAAATTTAGTTCATAAATGATTAGAAAAAAATTCTAAAAGTTGAATTTTTTAAAGTTTCTTACCATTAGAGTAAATTTGTGTTTGAGTTACTTAATGCTGATGTGGAACACTAGAACCACTTTTTTCATTTTTCAATGCATGAAGCAACTAAAATGAATTGCTTCCATTAAAAATGTCCTAAATAACACGTCCTTGATTAAAAATAATTAAATAATATATAAGTAAAAAATAACTTTTATCTTACAAGTTAATTTTATAAAATTGAATTAGACTCAAATATATTATTATAAAATAATATCATATTTATTTTAAATTCTTAAAAAGGATAACAAGTAGAAAAAGAAATAACAAAAGACTGTAGATCTTAAACCAAGTTCTGAAACCGCATACACACATATAATATTGAAAGAAAAAAAAAGCATAAGAATATATGATGATTATATATTAAGTTGGGTTACAGCGAGAGAAACATGAGTGGGGAATGAAAAACATGATAAGTGGCCTTAAAAACCTTGTTTTCTTAGACAGAAAATAGAATAGAAGAAGCCAAGGTTTCAGCACAAGTTGTGCTTAACCCTAGATAGTAAACCAGACAAATTAAGTCCAAAAACTAAACCAGACTCTCAGATCCCTATAGTAACACGTACTACGTACGTACTTGCTTTCTTTCACCTTCTTCGACTGATTGGAGTTTCTAATTCCAACTTAATCACACATGAATCTGCAAAATGGGAATTAGATGCAGTAAGCAAGTGTATATATTTATATAATTATGCAAGAATTGATTAGGCTTAAATGAAGGGGGTGCTGTGAAGATTATAAATAACCCGTCACCATGGTATCATATGAGATCATTTCTTCTTATTGCCAGACCCAGAACTGGAACCGGATCCTTTCCCAGACCCGGACCCTTTCCCAGACCCGGACCCAGACCCAGACCCTTTCCCATAGCCTTTCCCAGAGCCTTTGGAGTTACCACTGAGATCAGGTTTCTTTGAACCAGTAGCTTTGGATTTATGATCATTTGTGGGTGGTGGTTTGGAACTCATTGTGCCACCGAGCTACCTTCAGATTACCGTATCAACAAATCAAATCACACTTTATTATATGTTTTTTCTATTTATAATTTGGTAACAAACATGCCCTCATTATTAAGCATTGGAACTATTAAAAAAACCCAAGAACAACTTTAATGGGAGTTGTTTGTCCCATGAAGTAACTTAAGCCATGTTTCTTGTTATCGAAGGATTCTGACGTGGCAACATGAGTTGCTTGAAGAAGAGAGAGAGTTGCTTCCTCAAACAACTGTTCCTTACCAAATTTCAAGCAGATCTTATTAAACATATTTGCGAACATTTTAAAAGTCCTTTAAAATCCTAATCCAATACACCCCCCTAAATAGATATAATATACGTATTTTCTTTGTGGTATAATTTATGAACAAAATTTAGATATAATTCTTTAAATATAATTAATATTATATTTACATTTAATATACAAGCTAATAATATATATTCATAAAATATAAATATATATTATTAAAATAAAACTTTAATGATGACTAAAAAACATCATCAATCATGCGTAACAAACTCCATCCTAAGTTTTATCAATAATTTACTTCTTCATGCCAAGTTTAGATTACTCTATTGTTTTATCCAACTGGTACATGGATGTGCTTCGGAATCAAACCGCAAGTGGAGGGAATAAAAAAAGCAGGCGTTTGGTAGAATTGGTGCAAAAGGACTTGACAAAATACCATTTTTAGCCATTGATGACTGTGCCCTTGTCTTATGTCCCTCTCCTTATTTATATTTTCTTTTCTCTTCATTTTCACTATTCACTTAGAAGACCATGTCATATCAATATATAGAATTAACATAAAATGGGATTTGAAGAGTTAAATTAAATAAGGAAAATATTTAAAAGTAAAAAAACATACATTCAATTTAAATTTTAAAGAAGGAGAATTTAAAATGATCACGATGCATAATTCTTTAACGGAGCGTAAGTTAAGAGATTTAATAACTCGCATCAAAATGAACTTCAATTTTACTCCGGGTGGTAAAAGGGGTCAGCCCAACCCGTTTTGGCCCGACCCGTTAATGGCCTGCTAAAAATAGGCTTAGCTGGCTCGCTCAGTCTAAGAATGGGCTAGCAGGTCGGCGGGTCAGCCCGCATACCATAAAAAAAAATTATGTTCAAATAAAAAAATACTACAAATAAATAAATATAATTATATAAAATTAAAAATACATACATATTATACATAATATATGTTCAACAAAAGTAAATTACAAACTTATAACAAAATCAAATAGAAATTAGTCCACTTACACCAAAATCAAAACTAAATTATAAACTTACAAATTACTAATAAACTAAATTTTTTATAGTCCACGAAACAAGTCCAAACACAATTAATCAACTTTAACTTTCTATTTCAAAAACATTAGAAGCTCCCTTGGAAGAACTTGTTTCTACTTTTTTGTATTGATCATCTTCATCCTCATCTTCTACATCAAAATAAATTAGACATAAAAAAAAATTAAATATAAAAAATTAAAGTATACGGGTTGGCGGGTTGTGACGGGCCAGCCGGCAGGCCAGCGAGTTAACGGTTTTGGCAGGGCGGATTTGGCAAGTTGGCAGGTTGAAATATTGGGCCTAACCCACGGGTCACAACCCATTTTTCCATCTCTAGCTAAATTTTACCTATTGGTCAAGGTCACGACTTTTTACTCCTATGCCTATATTATGTTTAAAGAAAAAATAAAATTCAAAATAATTGTTATGTTAAGTTTTCAATATAGTATTAATTATCTATTTTTTGTTTATACATTTTTTAATATATTATAAAAATTAGTTATCATGTTATATTACATATATTTATCATAAGATTAATTTTGTAAAATTATTATTTATTTATTAACTTTTTTAACACTTATTATCAAATTGAGGGCGTATGTTTTATTAAGTAACCATTGTGCATGTTATTTATGACCAAACAAATTTGAAGATAATGTCATAAATTAAAATAAATAAGTGAGCTATTTTTTTATCAACCTTTTAAATGATCCATACACTGTACATGTGTACCAAAAACCCTAACCTTGTCAAAATTAAAACTAATAAAATATTTCATGGTTCTATAATTATATTTGGAAAACGAGTTGCGAATTTAATAAGAGAGACTCCTCTATCACTCTATGTATATGATAGATTTAAAGAAAATATCATGTCTGCTTTCAATTCATACCCAGTTAAATATTTCTACTAAAAAAGTTGACCAGAAGCTTGAGGTAGCGCCGTCCCGTTGCTTTATACTATTATAATTAAATAATTGTTATAGTACCCTTGAAAGGCTTTGATACATTAAATTATGTAAATAAATAAATTTTAAAATAAGTTTAAAATAACATAAATTTTAGACATAAATGATTAGAAAAAAATTCTAAAAAGATAGGAAAATACGACCAGTGCTGCGAGAAGGACCCATACGAGACCATATATAATATATTTAATTAAACATTTGGAGTGGACCCTAAACTTATTATTATATTAAAGTTTAACTTAATTGATTGAGTATAGGATAAGTGATTCTTGTAAACCCTCTTATGCAGTTTCATTCTTTTTTATTAAAAAAATAATTTGATTATACCTTGCCTGTAATATGAGAGAACTTATCCAACATAAATTGGGTCTGTACAACAGAGTTACAGAATAAAAAATGAAATTACATTTATGAACCTTTAACAACCATGTTTTTAATTTCCTTAAGGAATTCAAATAATAAACACGTACAGCTTTTACTTTGCCCTTCAACATTTTGTCACCTAGTGAACCATATATTTGAGTAGGAACTGATAAAAGAATAAATAAAAAAAACAATAAAACGAAGAAGCAACTCCATACTTGAAATTTATGAACGAATTAAAAATATTAAGTTGAAAATGCAAGAAAATTAAAACACAACTTTAAGAAATGAATATTAATTTTACCTCAGTTGAGTTGAGGAAGACTCATCAAGACTGCAGATTTGTTATATGAATGGGTTATTTATGGGTAACTCAAACATACTCAGAACCAAAGCACCGTCTAAATCAAGTAGAAAAAGAAATAACAAAAGACTGTAGATCTTAAACCAAGTTCTGAAACCGCATACACACATATAATATTGAAAGAAAAAAAAAGCATAAGAATATATGATGATTATATATTAAGTTGGGTTACAGCGAGAGAAACATGAGTGGGGAATGAAAAACATGATAAGTGGCCTTAAAAACCTTGTTTTCTTAGACAGAAAATAGAATAGAAGAAGCCAAGGTTTCAGCACAAGTTGTGCTTAACCCTAGATAGTAAACCAGACAAATTAAGTCCAAAAACTAAACCAGACTCTCAGATCCCTATAGTAACACGTACTACGTACGTACTTGCTTTCTTTCACCTTCTTCGACTGATTGGAGTTTCTAATTCCAACTTAATCACACATGAATCTGCAAAATGGGAATTAGATGCAGTAAGCAAGTGTATATATTTATATAATTATGCAAGAATTGATTAGGCTTAAATGAAGGGGGTGCTGTGAAGATTATAAATAACCCGTCACCATGGTATCATATGAGATCATTTCTTCTTATTGCCAGACCCAGAACTGGAACCGGATCCTTTCCCAGACCCGGACCCTTTCCCAGACCCGGACCCAGACCCAGACCCTTTCCCATAGCCTTTCCCAGAGCCTTTGGAGTTACCACTGAGATCAGGTTTCTTTGAACCAGTAGCTTTGGATTTATGATCATTTGTGGGTGGTGGTTTGGAACTCATTGTGCCACCGAGCTACCTTCAGATTACCGTATCAACAAATCAAATCACACTTTATTATATGTTTTTTCTATTTATAATTTGGTAACAAACATGCCCTCATTATTAAGCATTGGAACTATTAAAAAAACCCAAGAACAACTTTAATGGGAGTTGTTTGTCCCATGAAGTAACTTAAGCCATGTTTCTTGTTATCGAAGGATTCTGACGTGGCAACATGAGTTGCTTGAAGAAGAGAGAGAGTTGCTTCCTCAAACAACTGTTCCTTACCAAATTTCAAGCAGATCTTATTAAACATATTTGCGAACATTTTAGAAATAATAATGATGAAAATTAATTTCGTATAATGTTTATGTATTTATTATTGCTTTATTTTATTTTTAATATCTACTTATTGTGTATTTTTTCTCGTAATTTATTTTTTTCATTGTAGTGCAATTATCTTTTTTAATAAAAATTTAAATTTAGTTCATAAATGATTAGAAAAAAATTCTAAAAGTTGAATTTTTTAAAGTTTCTTACCATTAGAGTAAATTTGTGTTTGAGTTACTTAATGCTGATGTGGAACACTAGAACCACTTTTTTCATTTTTCAATGCATGAAGCAACTAAATTTATGCTATAAATTTAAAAAATTATCACCAAAGAAAAACTAAAATATATTAACAAAATATTAATAGTGAAAAAACAGTTCGTGTTTTCTTTTTATTTATTTAAAAGATTTAAATTTTCTAAAGTGAGAAGATGATTTTAAAAGATAAAGCATAATAATTGTTGATCAGAAAACTAATGATCAACAATTATAACAAAAATTTATAAAATAAAATATAAAATTAATTATACTAATAATTTTTTATTTTTTAATTAATAATTGTCATTGCAATTTATTTTTTGAAATACAATTCTCTAATTTAATAGGAGTCAAATCCTTATTTGAAAACATGCAGTCTTATACAAAGTAAAGCGGGAGAAAATACGTGTATGTCATTAAAGAGTGACAGCAATCGGTTTAAAAGATAATATGAGTTTAATGAGAAAAATATTTTAAAATTTTAAAATAAAAGAGAGTTACTAAAACCTGTAGCGTGTTTTTTTTTTTGGTAGAGTATGAAAACTAAAGTTAAAACAAAATAAATCAAGACACTAAATCTCTCCCTAATGGTATCAGGATAAAGTTTGGAGGACTCCTCCAAAATACATTGGAATCCAAGTTCCTCACACCTCAATTAGCAAGAGTATGGGCTACTAAATTTATCTCTCGAGGAATATGATTTACGTAGACTACCCAATCCCAATCTAGCATTCGCTTAATACGACGAATAATATCATAATGCTTATGCAAGAAATCCCTATCCGTTAACTTATTTTGGAATATCTTAACAACTCCAAGGCAATCACATTCACAACTCACCTTCCGAAACCCACCTTCCCAACAAAGCGATAAGCCACCCTCTAAGGCCAAAAGTTCTACACGTAACGCATCACCATGCAAAATTCCACGCAAGAAACCCCCCCGCCACATACCTGTCCAATCTCGAATTGCTCCACCCATCCCCATAGCGGAGGTCCCACTTAACCAACTCCTGTTAGTGTTTAGCTTAACCCACGGGTGCTCCGGGGGCCTCCATAGGGTCTGCTCCACCCATAAGCGCCTCTTAACGTTGTACAAACTATTCTCCACCATAGACAGTACCACCTTCCGACGGACCTCTGAAATCATCCAACGCTCGTTATTAAAAATTATGTTATTCCTAAACCTCCAAACCCACCACAATGTGATGGATAGCTTAATAGCATCCTTATTCAAAATAATACCCTTCAGCCATTGAAAACAATCCATTACAGAAGGAGACCACCCTACACTGAACCCGCCAGACATCAGCACCTCTCGCGAATGCGGGCAATCACGAAGAGCATGAAGATGGTTTCTTGTGGACAAGAGCAACGCGAGCATCCACCAGACTCTGCCAATCTCCTTTCAACCCGTAGCTGATTCGTTGGAAGAGCTGAGTGTAGGCATTGCCACAGAAAGAACTAAACCTTCTATGGAATCATTAACTTCCAGAGCTTCTTCCAAACTTCATCCACCTCAGTTGACAAAATCGGGAGTAGGAAACGATACCCAGATGCAACTGAATAGCAACCCGATATATCACCCATCCATTTGAAGTGATCCACCCCCAAGGAGGAAGTGACTACACTCAACTGTTGGGCCGAGTGAACCAGCTCTACCGGGAGAGCAGTATATAAGGCATTGAAATTCCACTCTCCATTGACCCAGCACTCTGCTACCGTTTTGTTGGTGTCCACAATGTGAACAAATGGAACTTTCCTGCACCAAAGCCCAGTACCCGACCAGTCCGTGTACCAAAGGGATGATGCACCAGAATCTAACTGAGGCTTGAATCCCTCACGGAGTGAAGGAAGGGCCTTAATAATACTTGACCAGGTTGGAGAAGCACCACGCCTTTTTTGAGCACACAGGATAGAGTCCCCACGTAGATATAGACTGCTGAGAAGTTGAACCCAAGGCTTCTGCGGAGCGGATAGTAGGTCCCAAACTAACTTTCCAATAAGTGATACATTCACTCTTCGCGCCTCCCTAACCCTAAGGCCACCCAGTTCTTTGGGTTGAGTAACAACATCCCAATTCACAGGAGACCAAAACCGTGTGTTGTCCGACTTAGTCCATAACATACGACGACAAGCCTGATTAATTCTATTACACATTGCTTGAAGAAGCCACAAGGATTGCATGCTATATACGGGAATAGAGGATATGGCAGACTTCACAAGACATAACTTGCTTGCCTTATTAAGAAGCTTGGGTTTCCAAGCCGCAAGTCGACCATGGATCTTTTCTATCACATCATAAAAGTTTGCGCATCTCGGTTGGCCATGGGTCATGGGAACACCCAAATAATTCACTATCCGAGCCGTGTGGGCAATCCCTAGCAACCCTCCAACGTATCAATCCTCCTCTGTGAGACCCTTCTAGAGCTCACAAACTTAGTCAAATTGACTCTCAACCCTGAGGAATGGGAAAACTCCTCCAAGGTTGACGCCACCAAACGAGCTATTGGTCTTCTGAAGCTTGACCGAATAGAAATATATCATCAATGAAGAAAAGGTGTGACAGCGGTAAACCCCCAGGAGATAAGTGAATCGGTTTCCAATGACCCTCCTAGAGCAACTCAGATATCCTAAGGGCTAGTCGCTCCATGCAGAACACGAATAGGTACGGGGATAACGGGTCTCCTTGCCGTAGGCCACAATACAGGACAAAGGACGGTAATATGCTTCCATTCCAAAGTAGTGAAATCGAAGAATTCTTCAACCCCCACATGATAAGCTGAATTATGACTATCGAAAAACCAAACTGCACCAGCATAGATTCCAAAAACTCCCACCTGACCCTATCATAGGCCTTTTCAAGGTCAATTTTTAAGGTCAAGGAGCCCACACCTGAGCCTTCTTTCCGTACAAAATGGAAGGCTTCCTGAGCAATAATACTATGATTATGAGTCCCCCTTCCAGGAATAAAGCTACCCTGGAAAGGACCGATGATGTCCTGCAAGAACGGTCGAAGACGAGCCACAATCACTTTAGAAATAACCTTCCAGGCTACGTTACATAAGCTTATAGGACGAAATTCTTTGAGGCTAACCGGATGCTCCACCTTCGAAATTAACACCATTTGTGTCTCCAAGAGGGATATGTCGGAGAATCCCAATCGAAAGGCATCCTTCACTGTACGCCATAATTCATCACCCACAATAGGCCAATATTGCTTGAAAAAAAATGGTTGAAAACCATACGGCCCTGGTGCCTTAAACGACTTCATGCTCATCACCGCCTGACGAACCTCCTCCTTCGTGACTGGGGTAGTTAAAGCAGACTGGGCCTCAACTCCCAAGTCAGGTGGAACCCAAGTATACATGTCTAGAGACCCTTGTCCACTGTCAACCGAGAAAAGCTCCTTATAGAACCTGACTGCCTCAGTTTTCATGACCATAGAATCAGTATGCCAAGACCCATCTAGTAAAAACATCCCCTGGATTTTGTTCCTCCTTCGTCTCGCAAGTGTTTGAGCATGGAAAAAAGGACGTATTACGGTCCCCAAACCGCACCCACTTCTCTCTAGATTTCTGAAACCATAAATATTCCTCCTGAAGACAAGTTTCATCCAACTCCACTTGTATGGTTTTCTCTAATCTCGACAAGCTCTCTGATTCACCTCTCTCGAGTTGCAGTAGTACACCTTTGAGGCGACGTTGGAGAGCCTTCTTCCTAGTAAGGTTATTCCCAAACACTTATTTATTAAACTTTATGGCATCTGTTCTAATAGCTTGTAATCCATTAGCAAGGGTCGGCGTGCTTCGACACCAAGCCTCCTTAACAATTCGCTCAAAACCTTTATGAGTGGCCCATGCAGCTTGGAACCGAAAGGGTCGTTCCTGATTCTTTTCCCTTGAGCCGTCAAGACGTAATAGAAGTGGACAATGATCAGAATAGACCCTACACAGATTTTCGACATATGCTTCCGGAATCATAGCTTGCCATGCTACATTACACACCGCACGATCTAAACGCTTTGCAAGCATTACCCCAGGTTGATTCCTATACCACGTAAACCGAAGGCCCTTAGCCCCCATGTCGAGAAAGTTACAATCATTCAATACCTCCAGAAATTGTGAAGCCCTTGCCAGTGAAAAGCGACCACCTCTACTTTCCGTTGACAACAAAATTTCATTAAAGTCACCAAGCACTAGCCATGGCAGCGTAATCTGTCCTCCCAACTCCCGAAGATGAGCCCATACCCATTGTCTTAGTTCCACCCGAGGTTTAGCATAAAATGCAGTACAAACCCAGTTCTTGCTCCCTTCAACCACCGTAAATGAAATGGCATGAGGGTGAGAGGCAAACTCTGAGGTCGTAGCAGAGCAAGACGTCGCTATCAAGACCCAAATACCCCCGGAATGCCCCGTAGCCTCGATGTTATAACATAACTTATAGTCCATCTTTCTCCAAAAGGATTCCACCGAAGAAAACTAGCAATGAGTCTCCAAAACAATAAAAATAGATGGGTGATAGAGCCTTACTAACTTCGAAACCCTCATTTTACCTTTGGCATTGACAGCCACTCTAATATTCCAACTCAAAATATTAAAGTTTGTAGTCATTAAATATGGGCAAGACAAACACATATACTCAAGCCATCATAGCCTCATCTTCCAATGGCTGGTCATACTGCATTACGTCCTCCGTCCCCGGTACCTCTTGACCACCATTATCTGAGTCGTGAATTACATGTGTCTCGCGAACAACTGGGAGCACACCTGATGCCACACTCCTATTCAAGACCCCCATCATTCCCTCTTGCATAACTCGTGGGTCTCCAAGAGAAGGAATGGATTGGGAGCTTCGGATCTTATTATGATTCAAGTCTGATAACATGTTATCGCTAGCTAGAGTGGACTGTGGGTGGGCACCAAGATCCTCCCCCTACCACGTTTCTTGTTATCCTTAGTGAGCCCTATGTTTTTTGATTCTTATTAGTCTCATGACCCACATCAATAGGGCTTGATCGTACTGCATGGCCCTGTTCATGTGAATTCACTACTACTACACGTGGGTTCCTAAAGACCTCACGTGATGCAGACTCAGGGTGTAACCCCCGCGTAGGGTAACTCGGATTTGCATGAATCTTCTCCTTAAATTCCGCAGCCCCATTATGAAAGGAAGAGCGACCCTTGCTCAACGGTCTCCCGAGATTCTATTTCTGATTTTTCCGCTTCACGATCAGCCATTCCCCATGCAGATCTGGCGTGATTTCCTCCCTAGCATGCAGAGCTGATTGCTCCCCTGTTTGAGCAACAGAATCTGCACCATGCTTGGTTTCCCCTGACAGCGTCTCCATAGCCTCCTTCTCTCCTACACCCTTCTCCGTTGACTCGTGCCTAGCTGAAGTTGGACAATTCCTCATAACATGCCCATAACAGCCACACGACGAGCACAACAGATGCAAGCCCTCGTACTCAACGTTGTACCAAATGTCATTGAGGAAAAATCTTCCTACAAGTGGTTCATTCAGATTTATCTCTACACAGACTCGTGCAAACCTGCCCCATGTCATGTTCAGAGTATTAAGGTCCACCTTGATTGGTTTCCCTATGGCTGATGCAATTGTTAGTAGAACACTCTCATCATAGAACATAACTCCAAGTCCTGGAAACCTGATCCAAACGAGGGTACTGTCGACCTTCGTTGCTGAAGCTACGAACTCTGGGGACCAGGGCCTAACAATCAGGTAGTGGTCAAAGAGCATCCAAGGGACCCCTTGCATGACCCACTCTCTATCCGCCTCCAAATCAAACTTCACCATGAAGTATCCATTCGACACGTCCAGCAACTCAAACCCTCCTTGAACCTTCCACAAGGCAGGCAGCCTGTCCCGCGAGGTTAAGAACCCCACATCTCTTCCTAACAACTTGATCACTAGACACTGCTCCCATGGTTCACACAACTGCTTAAAGGTGGGTGCAGTGATGCTGAACCTGGGTAACAACCGATCTCCACCCTCAAACTCCAACGTCATATATAGCCCCCTCCTTGATAAGATCTCGAACAACCGGCCGCTTAGACGGGGCACCCATCACCTTCTCCTTGAAGGTCGTTGCCTGGCTCACCGGGAGGCCCCCAACTCCACCATCAGGCGATTCAAATGGTGGTTGGCTCCCCATAGGCATTCCCCAAATCCTCTCCATCACCTGTAGCGTGTTTATAATATGTATAAATGTATTTATTATTATTATTATTATTGAAAATGAGACACTCTTAGCCTTTTTATTTTAAAATAATAAAAAAATAGGTGATTAAATAAATAAATAATATAGGACTATGTCACTTCTTCTTTTTTATTATTATAAAATAAAGCCAAATCGAGTCATTTCCCTACCTTATTTTAAGATAGGAAAATACGACCAGTGCTGCGAGAAGGACCCATACGAGACCATATATAATATATTTAATTAAACATTTGGAGTGGACCCTAAACTTATTATTATATTAAAGTTTAACTTAATTGATTGAGTATAGGATAAGTGATTCTTGTAAACCCTCTTATGCAGTTTCATTCTTTTTTATTAAAAAAATAATTTGATTATACCTTGCCTGTAATATGAGAGAACTTATCCAACATAAATTGGGTCTGTACAACAGAGTTACAGAATAAAAAATGAAATTACATTTATGAACCTTTAACAACCATGTTTTTAATTTCCTTAAGGAATTCAAATAATAAACACGTACAGCTTTTACTTTGCCCTTCAACATTTTGTCACCTAGTGAACCATATATTTGAGTAGGAACTGATAAAAGAATAAATAAAAAAAACAATAAAACGAAGAAGCAACTCCATACTTGAAATTTATGAACGAATTAAAAATATTAAGTTGAAAATGCAAGAAAATTAAAACACAACTTTAAGAAATGAATATTAATTTTACCTCAGTTGAGTTGAGGAAGACTCATCAAGACTGCAGATTTGTTATATGAATGGGTTATTTATGGGTAACTCAAACATACTCAGAACCAAAGCACCGTCTAAATCAAGTAGAAAAAGAAATAACAAAAGACTGTAGATCTTAAACCAAGTTCTGAAACCGCATACACACATATAATATTGAAAGAAAAAAAAAGCATAAGAATATATGATGATTATATATTAAGTTGGGTTACAGCGAGAGAAACATGAGTGGGGAATGAAAAACATGATAAGTGGCCTTAAAAACCTTGTTTTCTTAGACAGAAAATAGAATAGAAGAAGCCAAGGTTTCAGCACAAGTTGTGCTTAACCCTAGATAGTAAACCAGACAAATTAAGTCCAAAAACTAAACCAGACTCTCAGATCCCTATAGTAACACGTACTACGTACGTACTTGCTTTCTTTCACCTTCTTCGACTGATTGGAGTTTCTAATTCCAACTTAATCACACATGAATCTGCAAAATGGGAATTAGATGCAGTAAGCAAGTGTATATATTTATATAATTATGCAAGAATTGATTAGGCTTAAATGAAGGGGGTGCTGTGAAGATTATAAATAACCCGTCACCATGGTATCATATGAGATCATTTCTTCTTATTGCCAGACCCAGAACTGGAACCGGATCCTTTCCCAGACCCGGACCCTTTCCCAGACCCGGACCCAGACCCAGACCCTTTCCCATAGCCTTTCCCAGAGCCTTTGGAGTTACCACTGAGATCAGGTTTCTTTGAACCAGTAGCTTTGGATTTATGATCATTTGTGGGTGGTGGTTTGGAACTCATTGTGCCACCGAGCTACCTTCAGATTACCGTATCAACAAATCAAATCACACTTTATTATATGTTTTTTCTATTTATAATTTGGTAACAAACATGCCCTCATTATTAAGCATTGGAACTATTAAAAAAACCCAAGAACAACTTTAATGGGAGTTGTTTGTCCCATGAAGTAACTTAAGCCATGTTTCTTGTTATCGAAGGATTCTGACGTGGCAACATGAGTTGCTTGAAGAAGAGAGAGAGTTGCTTCCTCAAACAACTGTTCCTTACCAAATTTCAAGCAGATCTTATTAAACATATTTGCGAACATTTTAGAAATAATAATGATGAAAATTAATTTCGTATAATGTTTATGTATTTATTATTGCTTTATTTTATTTTTAATATCTACTTATTGTGTATTTTTTCTCGTAATTTATTTTTTTCATTGTAGTGCAATTATCTTTTTTAATAAAAATTTAAATTTAGTTCATAAATGATTAGAAAAAAATTCTAAAAGTTGAATTTTTTAAAGTTTCTTACCATTAGAGTAAATTTGTGTTTGAGTTACTTAATGCTGATGTGGAACACTAGAACCACTTTTTTCATTTTTCAATGCATGAAGCAACTAAAATGAATTGCTTCCATTAAAAATGTCCTAAATAACACGTCCTTGATTAAAAATAATTAAATAATATATAAGTAAAAAATAACTTTTATCTTACAAGTTAATTTTATAAAATTGAATTAGACTCAAATATATTATTATAAAATAATATCATATTTATTTTAAATTCTTAAAAAGGATAACTTATCCTAAATATAAATCAATTTTATAAAATTAAATTAGACTCAAATCCGATATACAAAACATCCTAGTGGAGAGATTAAAAAAGGGGCGTTTGGTAGAATAGAATACGCACAAAAGCCAAAAGCTAGCATTGCTGCCTGTGCCATAATGTCATTGTCTTATATCCCTCTCGCTATTTCCATTTTCTTTTCTTCTTATTGCGTCTGCCATGTCAATATACAACCATCGTAAAATAGAATTTGAAGATGTTATTTTTATATATATATTGTTTTGTCTTATAATTTTTTATTTTTTTTGTAATAACTACTGAAAATCGTTTACATCTTCTCATCACTAATTACCCACACATATTTATTTAGTTTTAATTATTTTTATCATTTATTTATTTATTTTAAGGATACCCATAGGCACGAAATATTTTCTTGCATTAGTATTAAACAAGGAAAATATTTAAGATTGTAAGAAAATATACATAATCAATTTTGAATTCTAAAGAAGAGGAATTTAAAATTATCGGCATGCACAATTTTTTAACGGAATGCAAATAATTAAGAGGTATAATATTAATAACCCGTAATAAAATGGACTCCAATTTTATCTAGAGGTCAAGGTCACAACTTTTTATATTTTATTATGTAATCGTTATGTATTTATATACGATCAAACGAATTTGAAGTTAGTGTCATGAATTTTTTTTAAAAAAATGAGCTATTTTTTATCAATTAAATGATTGATGCACTGTATACCAAAAAAACTCAACCTGGTCAACATTAATAAAATAGTATGGTCTTGGTTGTATAATTATATTTGGAAAACAAGTTGGCAATTTAATAAGAGAACGCCCTCTTTGCATTTGATAAATTTAAAGAAAAGATCATATATTGGAATTCTTATTCATACCCGATTAAAATAGGATAAAACTTAATTGATTCCAGTACTTATATGTCCTTTAATTTACTACGAATTTTTAATTAAAATTAGAATTTTTCATTTTGATAATATATATTTATATTTAATGCATTGAACCAATTAAATTTATATTAAATATAAATACATTTTTTAATAGTAAAACTAGAGTTTTTCTTTTTATGTATTTATATTTAATAATTATATATATTTATATTTAATGCATTGAATCAATTAGATCTACATTAAATATAAATATGTTTTTTATAATAAAATTAGAATTTCACTTTCATACTATATGTATTTATATTTAATATTTTAATTAGATATACATTAAACGTAGTATGATTTTTTTTATAGCAAAGTGCTATAATAATTATATTAAGCCAGCTAATAAAAAGCCACAAGCAATACCAACGTTAGTAGGAAAAAAGTTCTTTTACAAAATAACAGAAAATGACTAACCCAAAGAAAATATAGAATACAACTCTCATCAACTAAAACAATACTTAACTTTCGAAACAAAAGAGAAAGACCGAGGGTTTAAGAGTACTGAAAAGTCTGTTAAAAATGATAATCATTCAAATGCGAGTCGGTCACAACAACTATCAATACCATGGGCTTAAGAACAAAAATCATATTCATTTGGAGAAAGAAAAGGAAATGCGCGACATCATTGAACTTTACGAAGAAAGTTGATTTTATAATTTTCTATACAATTAATTTTATTATTGTTATTATTATTATTATATATTAATTAGCTAAGTTAATTTTTTATTTTATAGAAATTTGAAGAATTTGATAGTACAACAACTATCAATACCAAAAATTTTGAGTGTAATATTTATTTAGAGGAGTCAAGTATTCCATCATCATACAGTTGATAGGTCAAGTCGAGTCATATTATTAAAAGTGACCAATATAAAATCGTATGAGGACAAGGTCGATCGAGTCACACATGTATGGAGTGACTAACTGACTAAGACACAAGGTTAAAGGCTAAAATCTCTAACTAAGTACTAGAAGGAGCACGACATTTGGAGGGTGGTTGACAAGCTAATTCAATATAGGCTTAGTTATGCATGTTAAGGTTGTGGTAGGCTCACACCTAAGTCATTTTATCCTTCACAAAAATTCTCGATTTTCATAGTTTAAGTAGCAAAATCCAAGAAATCAAGTTATATTTTAGATTGATATCTAAATTTATTGTTGATCTAACAAGACCAAAAATTAAGATTGTGTTGTTAATTAGTTGGTTCAATAAAGTCAAGTCATTTAGACTACTCACCTATGTTATAAGAGAATTGTTAGTTGAAATGTGTAATGACACATCATGTTTTTGTATTGATATATTGTTAAGTTGACTTGTGTTGGAAATGGATATTTTTGTCATATTATGATATCTGTGTTGTTATGTTGTGAAGATGTTAGTTGCTGACTTGATGTTGAAATTGTGTTGGTAAACTATAGTAAGTTAAGAAGCTACCTTGTTGTAAATTGTCCACATATGCTAATCTTGTCGATAGTTATTATTAAGTTGAGTTTAAGATGTTAAATTGCATTGCTAAAGTTGTTGTATACTTAATTCATTACTTTTATACTATGTTGTTTTTTTTCAAATTCAAGTTTATCCGTGTATTTTTCTTGTATAGTTAGACTATGATTATCAATCTTGCTATGAGAGCAAAGTTGAAATAGGTCAGGGGATATGAGCACTTTTTAAGAGTCATGATAGAGATTGGCAGTGTTGTTTGGGCTACTAAAGTAGCTTGTAAAGTAGTGTCTTGATCAACAATTAGGATCTATGTTTTTCATTTTGGATTATTGTATGTGTGTGTATTGTATACAAGATTGTAGTGTAATTCTATTGAAGAACATTTATGTTTTCAGCAAATTATCTCCTATACATGTATATTGTTGTGTATATTCAAGAACTACTTGCATGATAACCTTAAATTATTAGATTTTTGTTTTTTACTGTTTAGATTATTGAGTTATAAAATATAGAGACTTGTCAACTCATTACATGCAAGGACTAGAATGAAAAATCATTTATTTTTTAGGGACTAAAACATATTTGAGTTTTTATTTTATTTTTAATTTTAAAGCAAAATATACGGAGAGACAAAGTACTTCTTTTAGTAATTAATTCATCTCTATAAATTAAACATGATTAGTTATCTCGTATGAGAGTCTTTTTAAATATTTCTCTTAATAAGAGTGTTTATTGACATTTTTCTTTAATGAATAATTTTTAGGTATTCTTTTAATTTTGTATCTAATTTAATATTTGTTTATAAATTAAATTTCAATATTTTAAAATAAATTATCAATATAAAAATAATTTAATAACAAAATACAAAATATTTATCATAAATCTAAAATATCATTTATATGTTTAAAAATATTTATTTTTATATTTTTTAAACTATAATTTATATATTTAAGTATAATATTTATTTATATATAATTTATTATAATTTTAATTATATAATAAATATTTATTCGGAAAAAATGCAGGCTAATAATAATAATGAACGGTGTGCTAAACTTTTCTTTGGAAAAAAAATTGACAGAGTGCTAAAACCCTAAAATAAACAAGATACATGTGGAGCTCATGCTGGTCAACTTTATTTTTGTAATATTTTATCTCTATTTCTAATACATTATATATCAATTTTATATAAATATTTTTTTTAAAACATAAACTAATATTATAATTTTGATCTCTCAATCTATAATATACTTTCTTTTTTTTTTTATAAATTTTGAGATGATAAAAAAGTATTTTAAAAATAATTTGAATACATTTTATATAGAATGGGTGACCATGAGTGTCCAGGTCCACTAGCGTCCGCACCTGTTGACTATGTTCTTTGCGCGTATTCTACCGAACTCAGTAATTGAATAATGAGGGTAGCTTTGTTTGTTTTCCTATAATTATAAATAAATTGCATTCATTGAAGAGTATCGGGAAAAACCCAAGTCCCGCTAATCCTAGATCATTAAAAAGGGTCACCTACTATTTATCCATGTATCAAGCCTATTAGTGTTGGATGTGAGGGGATGTATTGAGAAAAACTCAAGTCTCACATCGACTAGAGATTAGGCAATTGAATAGTATATAAGTGGAAAGCAACCCTTACCTTCGAACCTTGATATGCCAAGGTCGAGTCTGAAAACGAAGTGTACTACGTCGGATATTTTAGGCTTTTTACGTCAGAAAACGTACCGACGTAGAAGAGGGAGACGTAAATTTTACGTCGGGGCTTCAAATCCGACGTAAGTTTACGTCGGAAATTACGAAACCCGACGTAAAAAAGTCGTAAAAAAACAAAAAAAAAACTTAAGAACGC